GTAAACAGAAACACAATGTTTTTCTTTAATTGGGCCAAGCACTGATATGCAAAAATGCACATAAGAAAACGCAGCGACACACGCAGGAAGATGAAGAGAATTAACAGCCTAAAGACGAGTCTCTGCGTACACACAAAGAAACACTTTCTCCTCACAAAAACATCAGAGAGAAGGATGCCTGACGGTCCCTGGAGGCCCCATGTGATTCGGGACTGTAATCCTGTTATGGCATCTTTGATCTCTTCTTCCAAATCCTAATTTCAAACAAACACTGTTGACATGTTCAATGTTTCTGGGCAGATCATGTAGAGCAAACGAACGGGAGAACAGAGAGAGAGGGAGCGAAGAGACAGCGAGGGCGAGTGCAAGAACCATGATGTTGCAGAAGGAGAGAAAAGAGCGATGGAGAAGAGGCAGAGACACGGAGAAAATGAAAAAAGGGGATTAGGGTCTCGTCTAAAATGGAGAGCAGCGAGACATAGGAGCATGACAATAGAGACTAGTGGAAGGCTACTGGGGCCTTGTGACAGCTACAAAGAACTCACTCAGCCTAAGGCAAAATAACTAACAGCATGCCCACCTCTGTTTGCAACACTCACACACATTCAAACACATAAACATACATTCAGGCTGGAAAAACTTCAAAGATGGGCGAACAGAGATGTTCAAGATGTGTCTTGAGGGTAAGGTGAGTTTCAACGAAGCCAAGCCGAAAATAAACATCAATAATAACACATATCTCAACTGACCTGCAGGGGGTGTGGTGGGTAGTTGAGCCAGACCTCCCGTAGGTCCTGTGAAGACAGAAGGTGGGGAAGAGAGAGATGACGAGTCAGAGGGACGAGATTTGAGCGTTTTCCTGGGTCGTCTATGTGAGTAAATATCATTCTATTATTCATTAACAAGAAAGTAAACAGGGTAGTTAGCTAATAAAAAATTCAAACAATGCATAATATTGATATTTGATAAATATTTTACTCTCTAAAGAAATAAGCAATTAAAAACAACAACGTAAAAGTTCACCTCAGATATTTCTTGACAATTTTAACGGGTAGAGACCGTAGATGATTGAATTTAAAGATGGAGGACATGACAGCTCCCCAAAGCCAGAACGTCTCGACCGTGATTGCTTTATATAACTGATATATATGTGTAGATGTGTCAGATAATAGTCGGGGGAATGTTTCGTCTCTTAGCAACACAAACTGTTAATTGCACAGGATGCAATTCTGTCCAAAACAAATAACAAGGCCCCAGTTAACTACGCTCAACCTGGTTCAACATAATTACTACATCTGCATTCATGGATTTTCTTTTGGCCATATATTACGGCAGTAGAACAACATGTAAACACGACCTACAACATATAATCACCTCACAGTTAGGAATAATAAGAAAACAGTTTCCTATTTAAACGAACATCCAGCAGATACAGATTAACATCAGCATTCATTTTGAGTTTCGAGGTTCAATATCGCACCGTTTTGCTTTCCAACAACTCCTAGAGGAAATATCTGGCTACTTAGCAGTTAAACACTCCACCAGCTTGTTGCTAACTTTGTCAGTCTGCAATTTGGTGCTGGGCTGGGAGTGAGTAGTGGATTTATCTGTGTTTTTTTTGCCACCTGCTGCTGCTTAATGAAAGCTGTGAGAGTGAGTCTCACTGCCGTCGTAAGTCTGAAGCAATGAGCTGAAAGACACTAAAATGCTTCATAGAGATGAGGAGGAATCTGTGCAGGATTCTGTGGCAGAAACTGTTCACATTACACAGTAATTGGCGATGTCGAAATATTGATCAGAGCAGCTTTAAAACAAACACAATTTTAAACTCATACGATTTCAGTAACTAAGAATGGCCGTTCCTTACAAACACAGATCATATGACCATTCACATAAAACCGAGGTAGATTTGCACTTGGTTGAAGAAAACACTATGAATGAGGAACAGCGATGGTGGAAAGTAAGAACGGGGATTATTTATTTCTTGGACCGACAACCAGGTGACAGTAGGTGTTAGCAGTGCTTTGCATTCACCGCTAATAGTCGAGACGGGACTGATGAGAACAAAACAGGAAGCTGACAGGGGTTGTCAAACATTTCCTTTTCCGTCCGTCCATACCAACAACGCAGACCTGGATTTTGCCAAATTTCTCCCATTCAGATGCTAAAAAACTCCTTATCAGCGACAGCGCTTCTGTTTCTCAACATTAAATATGGATTCATTTCTTTTATCATGCGGTAAACATACAAAAAAAAGAAGAATAGCCTGTGACGATATGCCATTGATGGCTCTGTGTAGGGGGACACTCCGGATTCCTTACTCCGAGTGCTTTGAGGTGCGATCAGCAGCCCCAGTGGGAGGCAGCGGAATAAGAGCAAATGAGTAAGCATCTCATTTTCAGACCCAGAGGTCTGTGTCTGGACCACCCACCGGGGAGTGATGCAGGGGGTCTGGGATGTGGATTTGAGTCGAAGGTGAGGGGTGTTAGAGGGAGGGGTTGTGGGATCTGCCCTGGATATGCGTGCCGTCTCTGGAGACACACATTGACAGTGTCTGACTCCTTTTGCCTCCTCTTTCTTGTGAGAAACATGTGTAAGATCAACAAGGTTCCTCAACCCCGCTCTGGGGTAACGCTACAAGACTGAATGGTAGAATGACCAAGGCTGTAAAGAAAACACAACGGAAAGAGAGAGCGAGAGGGGAAACAGTTTGCATAAGCTGCGTGCAGCTCACAAGTTCTTGCCAGGGACAACAACAACCAAGTAGATTCTGTCCTGGCGTCTATGTTAGCTGACACGCAGCTGTGATATAGACCAAGCGAGGGCCTCTAAAGTACAGTATCACTCGAGTGTTAAAAAGGTTCAAGGAGATAAAACTGTAAAATGCGGCGCTGCTCTATTGGGGAGTTGTGTGTGGTCAACGGCATCAAATGGGTGCCTCAGCTTCACAACCCTACCCAGCTGGCAACCCATTGCCTTGAGCAGCCAATGAAAAATTCATGAAAGTGGTCAATACATTTGAGCAAATGCTTCCTTTTTGTTGCTTGTCTCAGCCGAGGACTGGAGTTGAAAAGCTCCGAGTTCATAGCAGGTAGTAGTCAACACGGAGCCTGCTTGTGAATACAACACAGGCTGAGGATGGCGTCGTTTAAATGGAAAGTCAATATCACTGACTAATGGATCACAAATTGCCATAAAACACGTGAAAGTGATGCATCTAGAACATACGTCGCACATCCAGGCATTCGGAAAACGAGGAAGAAAGGACAGGGAACAGGAAAACACAACAAAGAATAAAAACAAAGAGAGAGGGTGTGAAGTACACACAAGTTGCTACGGCTTATGATTAAAATCCATCCACAGGGCGCACGTGATCCGCCCACATGCTGTATATAGAGCCGAACAGCTAATGTTTCAATTACAGGCATTCCAAAGACAAGGCAGACAATGATTAAGCCAGCATCGAGTGGGGATTTAAGAATAACAACAGATTTTTTTTTCTTCTCCCTACTCTCTCTCTCTCTCCCAGCACGAGGAAGGTATAATTACTGGGGGCACAAATCAACATGTGCAGCAGTTGAATCACAGCCATTTGGAGGATGGAGCTCTTGTGGTACAAACAGGAAGAAAACAAAAACATATTCAAACATGTTTACTTGAGTGTCAACAACCTACTCGTGATAGGAGTTGAAATGAAAAGCAACTCGGTGAAAGCACCTATACGATGTCCATTTAAAGGTGTCCTTCAATCAGAGCCCAGGGAATCCATACACAGGCTTAGGCTTGCAGAAACTCAGGGCTCACAAGTCATCCGTGAATAGGCAACACCTTTATTCCCTCTATCCACCCACATAGTCTCTAGCCCCTCTAGCCTCACTCACCCCTGGGATTCTTGGCCATCCATGATTGGGACATAATGGTGCTCTTCTCTGGTGCTCTTCTCTGACAAGGTCCAGTGCTCCCTGACAAATTGGTCTCTAGCTACAGGCTGCCAATCAATCCATCAAATGTAGTAGTGCAGCAGAGAAATCGATTAAGAGATAGCGCAGCTGATCGATACCAACATAGAAGCAGCTCTACCTCCGCAACGCAGGCTTCTATCAGTGAATGGTGAAGGTGCTCTTCCAAATATGGGAAAACTAATGTGGACATTTTGGTGAAGTCCATCATGCGATTTATGGTGGAGGTAAAGAACAGACCCCCTTTTCAGTTCTTGTGTGTGGGCAGGAGTGCGTGTGAATGGAAAAATGGCTTGTGAATGTGCACATGCTTTCGTTCTCCAGGCTTTTACCGAACCAAGGACAGAGCGGAGAGGGCGTACGCGCTCTCATTCAAACATTACAATTTGTGCACTCTGTCCTCTGACAACTACGGCAAATATATTTACAAAGATCTCAACAGAGACTGGGACATAGGGGCGTTGATGAAATGTGGCTGAGCGTAAAAAGCAAAGTGCAGTCACGGTTCATGCAACAGAAAATAGAAACACGACCTTATTATCAGACGGACTGTTGTCCAGTGGATGTTATTTTAAAAAGAATGTGTCGCTGAATCCACCTAACACAGGGGAGAGGTGGCCTTCATATGCAGGGAGTTGTCATCCAGCCTTTAACCCGTGTGATCATGTAAGCCTAGCACACTCTACTGGTGCACCCGGAGATCAAAATAAAAAGGCTTGGTTATCATATGTATGATTTAGAGACAATTTCACTGTTGGTTTGAAATTTAACGTTTGAAAGATTCCCAGCGTGAGCGAAAGCAAGCTGCCCTAAAACCCTCTCTGGTGCTGCTCCGAGGAGAAGGCTGCGATGCCACACCACCGACCACCGCAGCGCCATGGTGACCCATCTCAGTTGTCAAGGCAACCTTTGTTGGATTTGGTGTTTGAGTGCGAATGCTTGTGAGGTGGTGTTAATAAAAGCCAGCAGATTAGCCCATGGGCAACTGGTGAGATCATCATTATCGTGATTGCTCCTCATAAGAAGCACTTCCCTCAGGACATCACAGTGGCATCAACATCTTTTCCCGGCAATATTGAACTGCTGTTGAGTCCAGGTTGGGAGCAATTGAGCAGCTCCCCCTGAAGGAGACGCTTTAATACCCTCCACAGTAATGTCATTAGCAAATTAGAATCTATCGTCTCCTCCGGGCTTCTGTGCGCAATGAAGCTAGATTCCATCATCGGCAAGGGCTGTATTGTTTGGGAACTGGTGCCAGCAAAGGTGATGCGTTGAGAGAAAAACAAGGGGATGTAAAAAAAATAAAAAGAAAAAAGAAAAGAAAATGTTGCGCTCCAGTCCATGAATGCCATACCAATTAAGGAATAACAGAGAGGGGGGAGGAGACAAAAAAAAAAAGGGGGCACTGTTTGTCTGGCTGGGTCTTGAGGTGGAAATGACATGCGGGCTTTGCCTTAGGTAGTCAATTCTGAATTTTACCTCCGGAGTTGTGAAGCCTTTACTTTGACTTGTCATAAGAGGCCTGGTGCGAAACATCTGTGAGGGTAATGACATCCTGGAGTGTTGGGGAGAGAGGAGAGTGGAAAAATAAAAGACGAACGAAAACACGAGGTCGCAGAAGAGATAGCGGGCCGCATCCTGTTGTCCCCGACAGAAGAGGAGGGAGTGATCACCCATGTGTGTGAATGGAATAGCACACTGGCAAATAGGAGAGACAAAACCAGAACCCGGTGCGATGGAGAAAAATGCATTGTCCTTCAGTTCTGCACAGCATCTCATTAGTTTGGTAATGTGCTGTGTGAAGACCCATTCTGACATGTTAAGGTAGAAATCTAGAAGGATGCATGCGGTCCTGCAGACCATAGAAATGTATCTCACACTCGGTCTGTCCGTCTCTGCTCCGCCCCGCAGCTCCCCACCCCCCCCTACCCATCATACCACCTGGCTGGTGTTTGGCTTTCTGGTCTGTGTCCATCTGTCTCCTCTCAGTTTGTGTGACAGAACAGCCATCAGGAGGATTCAGCATGGGGGCGAGGGGGTGAGAGGAGAAACTATTTCAATCCTCGCTCTGCGTCTCTGAAAACTTGCAAATCAAAGTAACTCAACTTTGATTTGCATAACTTCTCTTGTGCATCTGAGTCACATGCAACATAGCCAATGCTCCTTCAGCATCCATGGCTATATTCTATATAACCTGACCTGTGGTTTAACTTCACTGTGTTTAATATCCTCACTCACTGTAAAGGAGTCTTTGTAACGCACCTTGGACTTTAAAAAAATATTCTCACATGTGCACACTTGACATGATTGGCTGTCAGGTTGGAGGAGATCGACCTTCTTTGGTTCGGTAAGAAGCAGCAGACCTCGGAAGTGAATTTTTTTCAGACCCTTTCCTTATCAAGGCCCCCGAAGAGTTTAGACTTCCACTCCATATGAATGGTTTTTTGTGTTTCCATTTAAATTACATCCACGTTATATCAAACTCCAAAACAGGAAAAATGCTGCGGGAGATGGAAGACTCGGTTTAACCCAAGCTGGAAGACGAGGTCAGGCAGTCGTCGCTGACTCGATATTCAGCAGCCGTGGAAACAGATACTGAGAAACATCAACATTTATCATTTAGAGCCTGATCTGACGATGCTCATTCCATTTCATTTTATATTCTTCTTCTTTTCTCCTCTCCTTCGTTGTTTCACATTGATAAATATTTATGTTTGAATTAGTAAATTGTCTTTAAACAGTTTCTCACATCGGTGCTGGTGTTTATTATCAAGTTCGAAGGTCACATACAAAAGATCAATACATCAGGTTCTTTATCGGCTCGAGATTTAGAGATTCACTTTTGCTTTCATTATCTTCTTGATGGTCTTCTATTGAAAACTTTAACTCTATGGATGTTTTTGCATACGCTGCAGAGCTTGCACTCTCCAAAAGAAGAGGCACTTTTAGGTAGAACAAAGCATATAGATCACATATCCCCCATTTGGGCATCCGTTTTACAGGCCTCCATTTAGAATTGATTTTAAGATCTCACTGATTACTTAAGTGTTGAACGGTTTATCTCCTGTCTAGTCCTGTCTGCATCTGTGAGCTTGAATGTCCTTGCTCAGCGTTCATCCCGAGATGTGGTTTTAGAGTTTGTATTATTATAATCAATCATCAACCATACTCAATGATTTTATTGAAGAATTTAAAGATTCTGCACCTAGTATCACATTCTTTTGTCTAATTCTCCCGTAGAATAAACAGTTAATACAACCTGTCCCTGTGTTTTTTGTACAAGGATGCTCCATCTGGAAATTATATCGTAAGCAAAACTAATTTCCCTCTCATCTGTTGTCTCTGAGTGATGAAACACACACCTGCACTCCATGTCCGCACATCAGCGAGACTATCAAGAAGACGTGGAACAGCAGGTTTCTTTTGTAGCCATGGGATATTGATGCTGTTGAATTCTTTTGCATCAGAAGACAAACTAGTGTATGTGTGTTTCTGGTTGTCCATATGTTGACTCTTTTTTCTTTTTATCACAATGTACTCTATGCTCCGATAGATGCTGCACTGCTCTTTATAGAAAGGATATTTGAACCTTTGAAATGTTATCAGTTTAAAACACATATATATATATATATACATCTGTTCAGCAGCTCCTAAGAAACAAATAAATACCTCCACATCATGGCCACTTTATAATTTGATAACCGCTGTCATGGCCAGAGGACGACAATAAAACAGAACCAAGGACGTTTCAGCTTTCCACACAGAAAGAAATACTCCACACTCAGCACTAAAACACAATCGCCGGCCGCAGAGAGCGAGGGACTCGTGCCTGCACACAAACCAAACCTTGTCAGTTAAATAAAAAATACAAATACAAATAAAAGAAAACAAATTAAAACAGAGCCTTGAATAATTGATCTGGAACCTTGAAAATTTAAATTTGGATTAAAAAAAAAGAAACAATTCAGTGCAACACCTGCTTTATTTTTTAATTCTCCAAGCAATTTCTTTCAGGTGGGTGATTCCTAATTAATTATAATTTCCCTTGTTGTTTTGAGATGTGAAGTTTTTAAAGATTCAGTCCCGAGGCTTCTGATGTGGTCTCTCAAAGACGACCGGTTCTGATCAAACATGTTTGATATATCCCTGTGTGTGCTGCGGCGTGTGGGAGTCGCCGCCCGATTATTAGACAAACGCCCTCAATAGCCAATTATAAACGAGCCTGCTGCTACATACTAGACCTGCTGCAATCATTTAATTGATTCATAACATTTCTCGCCGAGATAAATGCAAATACTGATCCATTCATCAATTATTCAAGCGCACACACACACACACACACACCTCCAGTCCATTTAGAAAGATATACAAGCAACAATCAACCTGTTTTTGCTGCCAGGGCTTTATCCAAATCTTTTCCCCCCTCATTCGTATATTGTCATCACTGTGCATGTGAGTGCTCACCCAACACACAGCGGGGGAATAGTATTGCAGGATAAAGTGAGATTATGTGAGATCTCAGGTTCAAGGATAGAGAGGCCTCAATATCGTGCAATATGTGGCCCTTCGCCTAAACACGGTCTGAGTTTGCACAAATAATAGAGACAAGATTGGTGACGGGACACAGGCGAAAGATATCCGCAGATCAAAATAGGAATATTTCATCTAGTGTGTCTGCGGCTCAACTCTGTGACTGATGTGCACATTCACGTGAGTGTTGCACAGAAATCCTGAGGCGGTAGAGCCGTGGTATCCAGATATTCATGACGTTCAAACCACTTTTATGTAATTAATTAACTAATTAAAACCAAACTTAGTGGAGCATGAGAACATGAACATACAACAGTGTGATCAGAACTACCTGGAATCCATCTTTGAGAAAAACATGTTTAATGTGTACGTGTACTCCATCTGCTAACATGGAGGAGTTTATGGCGGGCGATTTTTGGGAGCTGTCATTTTGTCCATCTTCAGAGTCTTTGGATTTTTATCACTCACCTCGCTGTTGAAAAGTAGTCGACCAAAGAGCTGCCGAGCTTCGTCCAAGCCTCCTTCCAAGTACACGGCACCTGGGGGAAGAAAAATCTGTAAATTAGAACCCAACCCCCTCCAAGACAGATTCAAAGTACCAGTAAAAAACCATGACACTGCACCAGTACATTGCTGGTGCAAAAAATTTCTCGCAATTCTGAGGCAATTCCAGACTTTCCTCCTAATGGAAAGCTTAAAATTAATTGAACTCGGTAATGAGTTATAATTGCTTTATTAAAAGTAGGAGTGCATTTTTATTGCTTTTTGACGGTGAAATGTCCTCGGGGTTCCCGTGCAGATCCACCTCCCCCTTGTCAGAGCGCAGGAGGACGAGGAGGAGGAGGAGGAGGAGGAGGACGGAGCCACCACACTGAGATGGAAGTGGCCAAGGTCATATAAACATAAACATCAAACTTGAGTGTGTGTCACACGCATGCCATACTGACAAACACATAGAGGTTCACTTGCAGACTTGTGTAGTTTGTGCTCAAACCCATTCATGCACAGCGTGAACAAAAGTGCAGTGTCCTCTTTGTGACTCGCCTACACTCAGGTATAACTTATCTCTGCAGAGTCACAACACAGAATGTGTTGAATTCAACTTGAACCGTGACAGAAAAAAAACAAAAAACACATCACCTTGGGCATGAACACACACAAACTGCAACCCCACAAAAGACGAGGGACAAAGAAAGAAATTCAATGGAAAATTGGTCCCAGATTGCAGAGAGCTGCCGCCACAGCAAGACCAAGACACGTTTCCCAAATTTCTCCATCTATGTGACTGATATGCAACATCTCCAGCTCATTCTGCACCAATCGTCAGCTCATTTGCACGAGTCAAGTCTCCTTTGTGTGTTTTTGTTGTTTCGCTCTTCTACTGTTTCTACTGAAATCAGTGGAACTATCATGGTGCCTTTAAGCTGCATACAAGTTCGAACCATCACACTTAGGGTGGCTCATTCAATTTAGAAAGCAATAACCACCTGGCAAATTGGGTATACAATCGTGCAGCAGTTTTTATTATGTGCATAAATGAGCAGTGGAAATGGGGTGCGGTTGCGGCTGCAAGTCTAAACGCACAAACTGCTTTCATGGATGACATCAAAAACATATGAGGGATTCATCATCTGGGGCGGGAAACTGTGTTCAGATGGCTAACAGGCCATTTACACACACACAAATACACACACACAACGAAGATGCAGTCTGCATAGCCAAAACCCATAAAGAAATACAAACAAACCATGTAGCGCAAAGACAAACACAAACACACACCCCCTCTTTCTTCCTCGCATGCCCTTTACTTCTGAACAGAGTGGGAAATTACAACCAGCCATTGCCCAAATGTTCGTAAAATTTGATTAAGCCTGACAACTTCGTCTCACCCGGAAGCAACTTTGGCGGCTCATCACTAATGTAATGTAAAAATCTAGTTGGGATGGAAGCGGCTTGTGTATTTTGGAAGGTCCTGGCCACTGAGGGTTTTTAAAAAATAAAAAATAAAAAAAAGTAATTTCCTGTGACGCTCAAAATCCAAACACAAAAAGCCCATAAATCAGTACCCATAAATCTAAACTCTTCTTGAGGTCCACAAACGCAGCGTGCCGCCACAGATGTGTATCAGTAAGCGAGGCCTCTGTAATCTCGGCGTGATGGGGCGAGCGTCTCACTGAGGCCGAACCGCAGGAGGCTCTGGAGGGGAGCGGTTCATCACAGGATGTTTTCCACTAAGCATCAGCGTGGAGATTTGTGGTTTTACCATAATGTGGACCTCGGTTCCAAACGCTACTACGGAACAGATGTTTCCTCTGGAGACCAGCTGTGGGAGGATAAGAGCTCCCTCGCAGGCCCGAGTTCTGACTGTCTTTCAACCCCCCCCCCCCACTCATGAAGCATTCATATGTGTGTGAACACTGAGGATAGCTGGGAGTGGGTGGGGCCGGGAGGCAGTTTTTCTTTGTGTTTTGATGACACAGCAAATTCAGAAACTTCCACAAATGGAGGCCTCAAAGTTGTTGAAACCCAAACTTCTTGCTTCTTATTAGATTTTCAGAACTTTTTTTTTTTTCCAAGAGGAAGGAGAAGGTGGGAAGCACGCAGGGGAGGGAGGGGGAGACCAGGGGAGCCTCGAGGGATTTAAAACGGTATTAAAAATCTCAAAGCAACACCTTTGGTGTCAATCAAAGGGCTCGTGGATGAAGAAACCAAGGTATGCAGTTAATTCTAGCGAGAACACTCTTGACAAGGAGGCTGTCCGTGCAAAAAGTGTGCCCCAAAGCGATTCAATCAATCGTGCAACTTGCCGCAATCATTAAACAGAGATCTGTGCTTCACAGTCCATCCCATCAACTTGCAAAGTTGCAGCTGACGCCCCGAATACACACAGCCCACAAAAAAAAAACGCCCAGCCAGCTCAACACAAAGTTCTGTGCTATCATCTCCCTGCAGCTCATCGTGCAGTAACATCATGCCCGGGCTAAATCACTCTGCAGTCTCAGAGCTCGTTCAATCCACCGACGCCCACAACTGAGATAAACCTGCCTCGATATGTTTATGAAGAATCACGGTGGACCTGAGGGTTCACTGGTCATAGGGACGCTGTGGAGGAGTTCAACTGCAGCAAGAGACATGATTCCAAACATTTCCCCCTTTAACAGTTACACCTTTAATTTTGATGATTGTCCTGACCGTGTACTTCTCAAACTTTCATATGGTCTCTCTCTAGATTCAAACAAATCCTGACTTCTGTGTGAAAGTAACTTGTGATAACTGCTCAACTAAATCTAAGAATTGTATTTAGTGGAGAGACAGGAAATGAAACTCAAAGAGAAAGTGTGTGATGTGCAGCAAATGGTCTGACCAGGTCTGCTACTCTGGACATTCATCCCCATGTGGTATGCACACTAACTATTCGGCTACCAGGTCACTTTGAATGCTTTCTTTCATTTAAAGATTCATAAGATAATTAAATGTTCCTAATTATGAACTGGACATAATAATGGAACCTGGACCCGATTGTGCTCAACCTCTGAACTGATAAATTAAAATACTCTACAGCACAAACAGAACAAACTTTAACCCAAGTTTGATCCGGTGCTGTGAAGAGACTATCAGTCATGGCCAGAGAAGGCCAGCGACTAATGAATCTCCACATCTGTCACAAGTCTAATTCAGACGGCCACGCCGGCTGTACACTGTTATGTTTAGGAATGGAATTCCAATGTCTGTGGGCTTTCAGTGACCAATAAAAACCCAGAGTCAGGGGCATATGAAACACCAGCGGCTGACAGTCACATTAATAACCTAGAATGAATTATTCAAAAACGCTCAGGCTCTAATCCATCAAATAATATATTAAGCCGCTCCCTCTCAGCTCAACGGGGGCTGAAGCAGCAGACGGACACAGAAAGCAACATATTAAAGGCAAAAAAATAAATAAATAAAATAAACTAAACCAAAACATGAAAATAGAATTTTCACCACAGCAGCGACAAAGGCGGGAGGAGTGCATTGTCACATCAAACATCTTACTCTCCAAATGTGAGGCTCGGAGCAGAGGCTGAGGAGGAAGAACAAAAAAAAAAAGAGGGCGTGCAAAGAAACCAACTCCACTACTGCTGCTACCATCGCAGCAATTAACAAAGGGAGCAGCACTTGTTCAGTGAATACAGCAGCGGTATTGTGTATGAATCTGATATTCAGCAAGTGAGAGATAATCCTTTCTCTCCGTTCTTTTAATAGGGAGAGCTTAGAGAGGGCCCTCACAAAGGTTCACCATCTGTATCCCCCATGGCTGCTGGCAGCGTATAATCCACCGATCAACTGTACAGAGAAATTAGGGCCATAAAAACAGAGTGGGGCCTCTTTTCTTATTCTCTCACAATTCTTTTCAAACAGTTCGGTAGGAGGGAAGCGACGTGGCTTATCAGCGGAGAGGACCTGAGAGGGAAACGGGAGGGCAACAGGCGCGCCGAGTTTCTATGAATAAGCAGAAGGAGAAGTGGTTTCTAAAGACGAAAGAGGTAAAGTGTGCGAGAGCAAAAGTACAGAGGGAGAGGGTGCGAGAGAGAGAGAGAGAAAGGGGGGAGGCAGCGGTACAGAATAGGAGGCACACAGGCCAAAAGAGCCTAAATGAGAATGGCCCACTCCGGCAGAAGTTAATGACGGGGGATCAGAAAAGCAAGATTTCCATTCAACACTTTGAATTATTCAGGGTTGCAGGGCACCCATTTGCATTGCAGATGCCTTTGCTTTCCATTCCTCTATTTCACTCCCTCCGTTCTTCCTCTCTCTCCGGCTCTCTCCCTTTCTTTCTCTGTGTCTCGAGCAGCAGAATGGCCCTGCCTCAGGGTTAGCAGATAGACACATTCTCGGCTCCGTGCACAGAAAGCTTTGCCCATGCAAAGCAGGAGATTATCTGCCATTTCCAACACAGCCCAGGTTCAACGGTCACTGTGGCTGAGAAACAAATAAAACAAAGGTCAGAAAACATGCATAGTAAGCCGTTAAAGCTATCTGCCAGGGCCTTGGAAATATTATGAGCGGGTCATATTCTATCGCAGCTTTCGAAACAGGAGTCTAAGAAAAAGAGGAAGATTTGAATTCAACCCATGTGCGTGCTGGAGGAAAAAAATAAAAAAAATAAAAGGCTTGTTAAAAAGGAAAAAGGAAGATGGTACCTTTAGACAACAAGCCAGCGACACATCTGCAAGAGCATGATGTGGAGACTGCTGCTTTTGGGAAGGTGGTGGTTTGACGTCTGATGTCAGACAGAGAGGCACGTGTGAGGATGAAATGACAGCGTTCGTGTGCCCCCTGTACCAATCTGACGGCACGTGCGAGCGATCGGAGTTTGTCGTGTAAGTGGAAAATGCTCAGTTCAGTGAGAGAATCGGGAGGGCTGGAGGGCGAGGAGGAGGAGGAGGAGGAGGAGGAGATGACAGAGTGACAGGATGACTCATCATCTGTGGGGCACATCGTTCACCTAATAACACCCAAACTCTAGATCACAGGGTGGGGGTGGGCAGGGAAGAGACGGAGGAATGCAAAGGAACACAAAGGGTAAGTCGAGGAGAGAGGAGGGTGGAGACAGACTGTTCGACAGCGAGGTCTTAAAGGAGGCGTTTGAGCTGAAAGACTGAAATGAAGATGACAAAACTCTCTGTGAAAGAAGAGACGCAACATCAGACGGCATTCTCAATGCAAGTGACTTTGAATGTCTCGACTGTGTGTACGTGCGCGCACTCTGCCCCTCAGCATGTGTGTCTCTGGTGAGCGGGGCGGAGTGGGGGCGGGGGTGCTGCTGATATTTTTGAGTTAGTAATCTAAAACCCGTCACCACAGGGTGCTCTCTGACAGAGGTTTTCTCACAGGTTCCCTTATAACCACAACCCTGTTTATTCATCACATTTATTAAGTTGAAAATTTCAGACAGAAGACGAGACCGCGAGGAAGAGGAAGGAACGGAGCGAGGCATCCAGAGCCGTGGCCCCCGCTACCTCCGTGGAACGTGTGCAGCAATGAGGCGGGGACAGCCACGGGACAGAATAGATTATGACTTTGTCTCTGTCGATAATGAACCCGTAACAAGTGCGGGGGCCCCGGGGCCGACAGGGGGCCATGGAGCCAGTCAGCACTTTTCCCCCGCCGCTCTTCGCGCGCTGCTGTTTTTCGGTGCAGGGGAAAGAGGGAGGCGAGGAAGATCTCTTTAAAGCCACCCACTTTCTGTATCTATCATCAGGGGAGCGCGGAGATGGCTGAACTGGTTCAATCAAGATGGTGATAAGACGAGGAAAGCTGCCGACTCTGCAGCTCTCCAGGAGTGAGGCTTAGCTTAGCACTGCCCATGGGGTTGGATGGAGAGAGGGAGATCGTCGCCACCGAGAGACGTGTGTGTGTGTGTGTGAGAGACTTTCCTGTGAGTGTGTGGTTTCCAGCACAGGGTCCTAATCACTGCACAAACTCTATCACGGAACCGCTATCAAGATGAATAGCGAGCTTGTGTATGTGTTTGGTGTGGGCAAAGGAGAGCGGCACTCTGGGGATGGCCTGTCCAGCCAGAGGTCAAACCACATCTCCTGAGATCGATGCGTAATGTTTCCTCGGCCTGATGGGAAATTCACTGCAGCTATTTACACACTTTAACACACACTCACACACACACACACACACACACACACACACAAACCTGAATTAAACTATCAAACGACTCCGTTTTAATCCGAGCACATGAAGTCAGCAGGTACATTTAACACATTTATGCATAAAAGCATTTCAGATAAATCAAAGTCCGGCAAAGCAGCACTTCAGTAAAACTAGTCGCATTAAAGAGTGTTACGCCCCGACTAACTTTTGTGTTGTGTTAATAAGAGCAGAGAGACAGTATTTGTTTTCAGAGAATGCAAATCAGTCCTTTTAGGAACAGATTTACATATCAAGCTCACTCAAATATGTATTCCTCTTCTTTTTTTTTTGTGGTCTCCCTCACAACCATCACCCCGGCTTCTATCTTTGTCTCGTGGGAGTCTCACCGATAAGAGCCTCGAAGCAGTTGGCCATGGCGTGTCGCAGGTCCGACTCCCGGCACAGATCCGGTCCGTGAGCGTAGAGCATGAAGCGATCCAACTCCAGTTTCTGTGAAAGACAAACACATTCATATCAGCGCGCTGCCGCCGCCACCTCAGTAATAGCCTCTTTAAAAAGTAATAGCATTTTTTGGTATTGCACATTTTCGTAGGCTCTCCATGGAAAAGAAGAGAGAGGGGGAAAAAAAGGGCAGAAAAAACTCGAGGGAAATAAGAAAGATTGCCCGACCTTGCTGCAAAAGGTTCTATTTCATGGCACTGACAGATGTGCCCATGTGTTGTCCAGCTGTGGCATGATGCACTAAGCCGGCACACAAGGAGAATGTTCACACATGTGCATACATGCATTCACAAAATCACTCACACACACACACACACACACACACGATGGATAATCCCTGGACAAATTGTGACATGGTACAGTGGCTGACCTTCATTCTCTATGAAAAGTAAGTCAGTTCTTCCACTGGTGAAACACTTTCTAAAATAAATGATGTTACAAATTTAAAAAAAAACACACAACGTCCGACTCCATCATCTTTTGTAATATTATCCCGACACCCAAAGTCCTATTTTATCTTTGTTTAGCAACCTGTGATAATCATAAATAGATAATGGCTGTAACAGCTCCACCAGGGCCCAGAAGCCTCCTCATGAACCCAACATTTCAATTTACAAGATTCAGAGTTTTTTCTTGACCGACTCCTCATCTTTCCACTTGGGTTCATGGTAAATTCGTCCGGTAGTTTTTAAGTACTGGTCCTCGTGTTTAGCTCCTGTGTCTATTCTACCTCTGTGACGAAGCGGTTGTAACACCATCATTTCCCATTTGGAATATTAAAGTAAATTTCTCTGGAACAGAGGCCTCTCTGGAATTTGGCACTTGACAGAGTTGTTTAAAAAACAACCAGAAAGTCAGACTTGTTCAACCAAGAAGTTCTTACACTGAACTTTCAGTGGCTCTATTTATATTTGTAACCTCTAGGTTTGATGACACTACATGAGGATAAAGCAGGACTTCACGTAAAGACATTCTGACTGCAATAAAAATAGTGTTTACGTCTGCACTTCATGTAAATAAGTCTGCAAGTCTCTAATGTGTGGGTCAGTCAAACTTTCTCCAACTGTTTCTCTGAGCCAAGTCAGAAGTAGCCCAACTTGACTTCCCTGGCAGTGCACCACAGATGATTACCCACCAAAAAACAGTCAGGGTGCTATTTAATTATGGCTGCTAACCGTTGGTGGTATCCCACCTCCCGTGATTGCACAAACACAAATTAAATCACAATTCATAAATACTCCAACTCAGAGGGAACCGTTCTGACTTTAAAGCCTTCCGAGTGAAGTGGTGGATTGTGCTGTTGCTCGCCGAAGATATTTTTTGAAAGATAATTGCGAGTGTTCTTGAGCAGAAGGCTTTAGAGGAGCCTGGTAAACAACTTGGCAACGTCCAACACTGTATCACACTCACTTTACCGCGAGCGGCAAATTGAAACAAGCCAAACTGCTACACAGCACTAATGCAGATTCGGGCGGCTGCATCTTTGTATTCAGCGGGGAGCAACATGAAAGATTGAAGTTTTTAATTGCTTTCTTCACATCACGGGACGATTATTGTTGTGTTCTTTACAAACGTGCCAGTGAGTGCGGCTTGGCTCTACCATTCTGCCAGCAAGAGAGAGGGAGAGAAGCAAGGGGGTCTGGTGATAACAGGAACTGGAGAGTGTTTCAGGAAGACCTCTAGGGGCCCACTGGGACCCCAGCTGCACTAGTCTAGTCCTCCAGAACAACAACCTTTTATCTCCAATTACAAACCTGAAGAGGCAAAAAAAGGGGTTGGAATGGCAGCAAGACAAAATTACACTTTTCCCAAGTGCCCCCTTAGAAAGAAGCCAAGTCATAACAGCGAGACTCAAAACAATAACACCGTCTCAAACATGTTCTCCTGTCAGTTCGCGGACCTTTCATCGTATTGACCTGCGGAGGGAGGACTTGTTATGAGGTGCAGGAGCAGAGTTTACCTTGGCTAGCATGGCTAGGTGCTGGTTCTGCACGATGGCTGTTCTGTATGTGGCCAGGCCGCCCTCCTCTAAACTGGGGAACAGGTAGTAGAGGTGGACGCTGTGGGAAGAGAAATGAAATACAGGTTAGACTCACTGGATCTCAGATTTCATGTTGTTTCTTCATAGGATCGCTTCATTTCTTCTCTGAGGATTGTTTTCCAAAACGCAGCGGTAACGCAACCATCAAAAAATGTACTAAATGTAAAGAGACGTTCCTGTCATTCACCCTCATCCTGCATTTACCCAATTTCTCAAGACCACTTAATCCATTTTCCAGAGATTTCCAGCCTCTCCAGGTCTGTGCTGGAACCCAGAAATGGCCGCAGACGCTTCACTGGTTCCACAGCTGGGTTTCGGGAGAGCAGGTTCCATTTTCATTACGTTCCAGCATCTCCCTAACCGCTGCGTGTCATTTGATTTCATTTGAATTAAAACAGGCCATTTAATTCAGTCATTTCTAATCAATGCAAAGAGAGGAAAGCAGGTGGCGTTCTGTTTTCCAAATTCACGAGAGGTCTATTTGTCAGGGTATTGTGATCTTACTGTGGAAACAAAGCACTTGGAATTAATAAAAAAACACTTAAGAGTGATGAAAAATAATTACAGCGGAGACCCCTTCTTTTTTTTTTTTGCTGGCAAACGTGTCAGTCACACTAACTAGCTGACTGGGCTGCTCCGCGTTCTCCAGGTACCAAAAACATCATGTTTGTACATATTCATCAGAAGCAGATTGGGACTTTATTTTCCGAAAGCTTAAATGAGACATTTGATTTTTTTCAGTGTTTCTTTCCACATTGTGATGTCACCTGACTATTCACATTATTCAGTGAATAATTCATTTTTAAAGAAAGTGATGATTGTGCTTCATTCTGAATTTATAATGAAGTTAGACGTGGCAAATTCTGCTGATGTGACGTCATGTCACCATGATTCCCCGCAGGTGTGGTCTGGACGACTGACGAGGAGTTTTAGGAGCTTCAGTATTTTCCCTTTTTACCACAAAGGTTTTAACTTTGCAGAAGTTTTACGTTCACAAAAAAAACCAAGGGTTTCAGACAGAGGCTGAAAAGAGGAGCTGCATTCAAGGACAGTTTGAAGAAAGTGATGTGTTTTCCTTTTCAAAAAAAAAATAACACTGATAAAACTTATGAACCCGGACGTGAGCAGAATACGTTTCCTTTAAAAGTGCTTGTTCGTTTGTTCTTTAAGATGCAGTGAACTACTGACCTCACTGACCACACTCTACATCTGAGGGTCATTAAGTGAACACAGAGGCTGTGGCCGGCAGCGGCTCAGAGTCTCGTCTGTCATCAATATTTCATGTGCTTTTCCGAACATCTTCAGCAGCAGTCATTCTTAAACTTTACGTCTCGCAGACCCCAAAAACAGATGTGATATCTTCTTACGGCAGCTACAATAATGATTTCTAGTTTTCCTTTTCAGGCCTTTAATAATCATTACTCATTTTTAAACTCACCTGATCTTTGCTAACCCCTGATTAAATATTTAATCCTTCTCAGACGACGGGCGACAAATATTGCACATGCACTTTTTTGTCATCGTTTGCTGACCCTCCTCTGTTCAACACTAACTCCCTGTGTTAGGAGCAGACAGCAGAAGCACAGATAGCCTCCAAGGGCAGTGTGCACTGGCGTTGCACGAGGCAGTTGGCTGGATCTGCTGTACCCATTTAACTGGACAAGAGGCTGATAAATAATTCAGAGGGCCAGAGCGTAGGCCAAGCATGTCTCGTCCGACGCTAACAATCAAAGGAGGAAGGCAGAGGAAGAGGGGGAAGAAGGAGGGAACGTGGCACAACATGCCCAGAGATATCCAGAGAAACGGAGGCTAACCACCTTCTTAGTAAGACTGCTCTCGCTGCATAAGGAGCAGAAGCAGTGTCCTGTGTACTACTGTGTCAGTTCCTATTAAGGTTTAATCCTGCTCCTGAATGTTCACTGTTGTGGAAGTGTTAGCATCGATGGTTACAAATTGCATTTTGGTCGCAGGAGTTATGCTGTTGGGCAAATGAAAGTCAGATAAAAATCTGTTCCTCCTTTTCGCAACCTGTGTGTGTACATGAGTGTGCTAAGCTGTGCGGAAACACAGGAAGCCGATTTCTTATATATTCTACAAATAACATCCACTCAGACGAAAAACGAGGAGGTACAGTTGGTTAGCGGGCAGCTCGCTCACACACTACCAGGTAGTCTATGCGATTAATAATAGCTACATATAATTAGCGCTGTGCTTAGATAAGTGCCGGGCAGCAACGCTCGCACTCACCTGGGAGTCAATAACACAGTCAGCATTCCAGACAGCAGCTCTGGACAGCTAATTGCAAGTTGTCATGGAGAATTTCAGCCCGTTAGAGGGTGTGATAAGGGAGGGAAAAAAAATTACATCCCCTTTCCAATTAGCAGTAAATCACTGTCTATGAATGAGTCCAAAATATGGAGAGGAGCGTGGCTGTGACAGACACAGATAGATGTAGACGATGAGAGGGGGAGAAATGGAGTGGAGGGGGATAAGAAAGGCTGATAGTGTTGTAGTCAGCTTCAATTAGCGGTTGCTTCCATCAAAGATGCGCCAGCACTTTCTCACCTGGTGAGGAACTCGACAACAGCATCGCCCAGGAACTCCAGTCTCTCGTTGTGATTGATCCTGGGGGCGGGGGAGGAAAAGTTGGAGATGTGAAGGCAGTTGAAGAAGTTGCAAGAAAGACGGACTTTAGGCAAACACAACACACACTGCTGCTCACCTCATCAGTGCTCTGAGAATAACAGCAGCTCACATTCAATAATAAGTAGTCACTGCCCTTAAAATTAGCTCATTTCATTTCCCCCGAGATATCCCTTCTCTTCACAGTTAAAGTTAATTTTCTTGTCAGCGGGCCTGCCGGGTATATTAATCACAAGAATCGTCCCTTTGATTGCTCCTGTGGTCAGTGATAGCATGAACAGATATGTGCCGGCGGGCAGCCTACCTGGACGGGGAGGGGTCATCCTGCCCCAGACGAGACATGATGTTAATCAATGTGTTGATTCCTGACAACAAAAAAAAAAAGTAAGAAAAGAAATCAGCAGGTTCTAAGGGTCAGGGACTATTAGAGACGGAGTGGTCATTTGCCAGAGTGAAAAGAAACAATGCAGAGAGAGAATGAAACACAAACACCCACCCTTCTTCCTCATGTACATGTGATGGACCTTCCTGTCGCCATACTTCGGCTGGCGGATGCCACAGTTGGAGAGCGAGTTGCGGGCATGGTCGGGATTCATGCCGAAGTTGAGGTGGTGACTGGGGTGAGTCATGGCCAGCTGAAAGAGAGAGAGGACGCAGGTAAGCAAACAGGAGATTTATCACTTTTCAACTACAGGACGATTTTCATGAACCAACGAAACCTCCCCTGAGAAATAGACTCTCAATACACTGTTCTTCCTTTTGCTGTGTTTTGTATTCTGCAAAATAATCTCACTGTGAAGTCCTACGATAGAAACAAAAGCCTCACGTTCGCTTAAACGCTGGAGGAATGAGAGCGGTTACGTTCTGTTGCAGTTCAACATTCACAGGGTTTATGAAGTGCGCCCCAGAAGGCATTCACAAGATGCAGTGCGACTTCTTGTGCGCCCTGTTGCCCCGTGAGTTTTCTGGGCCATTGTCTTCCTCGTGGTTTAGAGAAATTGAAGAAACCAGTGAAATTGTAGGAACCAGTGAACTGTGCTGAGCGACACAGTAACGGAGAAGTACCATGGAAAAGCAAGTTGGATTCTGCAAAACAATGGATACAAATTTCAGCCGTCGGCCAATTCTGTGAAACACACGCACTCCAGACAACAAATCTGAAGCGGCCTGTCAACTGCTCGTTGGACGGTCCATTAGCTTCGGCAACTAAATCCCCCTCGCACCTTTCTGACATCGGGATAAAGAAAGCTTGTGTCCGACCGCATCTGTGACTTTCTGAATCCGATAATCCAACATTCACACCTACTTCGTGCCATGACAGGCCCGCTGCGCAGAGGTGAGACAGAAGCCAGGGACTGAATTTGAGACTAATTCTCCTCAAAACAAAAACAAGTACTTTATTTTGGCATCTTGTCTTTGTGGCAATTTCAGTCTTTTTAATCTCACCTCTGCACATCTGCTTTGCAACTTCTATTTAAAAATCGGAGCAGAAAATTACACAAAAACATGCAGGGAGATTGTGTCATCTTATCTAGAGCAAAAAAGCAATTTCTGTCTCAGTCTAAATTACCTCAGCTTCACGGTTATTCAGATGTGGTCGAGAACAGGAACTCACAAAAGAGGCTTTTGGACAGACACCGTCGTTGCCGAGTTTAGGTTTCGAGGTTCTGTAGGTTTAAGTCTTTGTGTATGACATACGTACATCCTGTCGTCTCTATACTTGACATTGACATCGTCTCTTGTGGTTAGACTAAATTTTGGTCCGTTGGTCTGGAACCCGGGTCCGAGGAACTTTTCACACCTGATATTTTGGTTTAGAAGAGTCTGAAGGTTGTTGTCACAGCGGTCTTACGTTACTGGTCACAAGGGGCAAATCTAGATCCTTACTGTTTATTTTAAACAGTAATACTGATCAGAGCTAACAAGTTTAGATTAGCACTGGCTCAAAAAACTAAAGGTGGAGCCACTATGACAGAAAGACAGTGAATGTCCCTACTGCCTCGTTGTCATGGTGAAAGTTGTTTGTATGAAAATCTACGACTCAAACTTTCAAACCTTCCCAAAGTGGGAATTTAAGGTAAAATAACCCTGAAGGAAACGAGGCGCATTAGTCAACACTCAGCTTTGTTTGAAAAGAAGACAAAAACTGCTGTGCCTAGAAAGACTGCTGCGGCTGAACTCAAACTCGCTGAGGAGAGAAAAAGGAGAAAGATAGGGCTCAGTAGGATATGTCAAGCCTTTATCAATCTTACATTATGAGAATGTTAATCTCAGCCCCCAAAAAATAAAAAGAAATCCATCTACACTCCCCCTTGGGCTTTCTTTTCAAAATGCTTGTCTCCTTTCAGCCAACTTCAAATCAATTTCAAGCTCCAATGAGATATATATGTAAAACGTTAACAGAGAGGTTTCAATATTTATGGTTGCTCAAGAGGCCTTCAGCTTTGTAGCCTTGAACACAGACACGACAAATTCAACAGCAGTTGTATTTCTTTCCTGTGGTTAAGAGGAGCAGCCTTTTTTTTTTTTTTTTTTTTTTTGAGTGAGAAAAAGAGCTGGTAATTTGACACGACACGAGCAGAAATCTAGGAACTCTCAGCGCCGCGTTGACAGTTCGATAAAAATATAAATGAAAACAACAACAACCACCACGTCAGTTTCCAATTTCTACTCCCCCATCGTGCTATGTCAGACACAAGTCAATGACTACCTACTACACAGCCTGAACTACAGAGTTTGGAGTCTAAAGGAGACGTATCAAGCAAAATACATCAGTTGTTCTGTAAACACTGCAGGTCCTTCGCAGTTAAGGAAAACATCCAACAACAGCATTGGCTTTTAGAGCCCAGTCTGTGGAGGGGATTGACAACCGCAACTGTTCCTGTCAACATAATGACTCCGCAAAGTATCGCAGGGATTTGGATTTAGTGATCACACGGCTGCTGCTCAATTTCCTTTGGCTAAACAGGAATAAACATCATCGCTCAGTGGAGAGCGAGAGGCTTGACTGAAAGCCACTCACGGAACTGATGAGCGAACTACCCTGAAGACAACGACGTCTTCACTGTGTGCCGCAGCACCTAATGCAGTCTATGTATATCAAGTTTACGCCGTGTGTGGCAGAGTAAATCAGGAGTGAGGGGTACAAACTACAGATTGAATGGACTGAGGGCACATATTTCATTATCATCCTCTGTATTCAATTAAAACACGGGAAAACAACCTTTTCATTGTCCACACATTGTTGTTTTGGTCAAAAAGAAAAGATTCAAAAGTACAAACAGAAAACAGCGAAGGAACAAAATATTATTATTGTCACTTTCATTCTAAACTCGGTCGCAGTGTAATTACGTTTGATTTACTGAGCACTTGAGGTAATAGTTTAAAGATTTTGTCTCTGTGGGAGTGATGATAACTTCCTCCAAGAGATCTCTAATGTTATTAGTTTTCTTAAAAGCAGCTATAATTGATATTTCTAAAAATACAATACAACAAATGACAATGTGAGAAGCAGAGCTCAAATATAAGATGTTCGGAGTTGGAGGAGAGACAAACAGCATGACTCCAAATTAAAGTTAATAATGCTGGGAGTGTAAATAAGCAACTTTTAAGTTCGGGGTCTTTAGTTTGGAACCCACTGTATTTCAAGGACTCACAGCTCATTTCCTTTATTTCCACTGCCCTCAGTTGACCAAAAACAGTTATTGCAGGGTTAACATTTTCTTTTCTTCTTTTCTATCTTGGTCCACTACTTAATCATTACGACAGACATGTTGACATAGCTGCAGTCTGAGGCTGGATTTATATCTGTGTGTTATCTTCCAAGCCAAAGAGAGCGACACACGTAGCCTCACTACAGCTGGTGTGCAACGCCCCAAAAATGTTCCTGCTCATTGAGGTTAAGGCGGCGATGGACAAACCCTGCAAGAAAGTAACAGTCATCCATCACAGTAAATCACAGAACATGGCTATTGTGGGAAATGTAATTATACAGCCTGATCATACGATACGTCCATTCGTGGCGCGATCATCTGGTGAAACTCGAAACTGAACTATAAATCAAAATCTGCACTGGGGGCTGTTGTTAACCCCCTGCAACAAGTTTGAGTCAGGCTCAAGATGTGACCTCAGGTGCTGGGTAGTGTTCCAGGTCACTGATTGGTCCGTGCTTGCATCAATAATAACGTTGATGTTTAGTTGATGTGTTTCACGACTGCATGGCCTGTATGATTAATATGTTTCATATACTTACATATATATATATATATATATATATCTGATATGCAGCATTTAAGACTAAGGTTCCATAATGGCCGCACTGCCCCTGCTGCTAAAATAAATCCTAGAGGAAACACTGGATATATTCAAAGCTTCTGACATTTTATTCAAACCAGCCCTGCTTGAGAGAAGGTGGACACCTCAATCACAGGGTTGGGCACGCTTCGCCATGAATGAGAAAAACAAATAAAAATACCCAAGTACTCTGCATACGGAGTCACAGACGCATTCATGACGGAACACAAACAAAAGCATGCAACATCAGAGCCGGGGCCGAGGACTTGTACAGTTAAATTATTGAGATCCTCTGTGATGCCTCTCGTTCTGCCAGCATGAGGCAAAAGTGAGGAATGGGGATGAAACAATGGGGGGTGGGAAGGATTATGAGGGTGTGGTGGATGTGGGGATGCGGGAGCATGTGGCGACCATGAACACATGTCTCTCCAAACCCACCCCACCCCCTAAGTTTTAAATGTTAAATGTTTAACGGGGGAAGGCTCTTAGAAGAGGAGCTTCAAAGGGCCGCTGCTCCACTGGTACTGGGTGTGTGTGGGGGGGGTCTCGAGTGCAGAGGCTGTGTTTTTGTCAGTTGCCTCATGCCACGGTCAGATCGCTGCACGGTAACGCAATAACAGGTGTGTTGCTGCAGAGAGGATCAAATGATGCTCTCCCTGACTTTGGCACGGTGATTATGAATTTACGACATATGTTCTCCTTGCAGTTTTGATTCACAGATATTCTTTCATTAAAACATTAGAGAGAACAAGCTGGAAACAAGCACTGACTCTGCACTGACTCTGTGGTTTCCCAGATGATCAGCTGCTTTCATCGCTTCTAAAGGAAAATATGAAACAAGGGAAATAAATTATCGTTCCTTCAATGGGAGAACAGGTCATTACTCTTCATGGCAAGAACAGAGATTCCCATTCGGAGAAACCAATTAAACAGTCCCACGCCGAGGACGACCACCCAAGTTCTGTTCCCGCCGCTGAAAACACTCCTTTAAGAGTAACCACTCCCCTGCTCCCGATCACCAGGACTGAGTGTGTGTTTGAATTGTTAATGTCAAAACACTTAACACTGGTCTATATTATGCTGTCAGTGTCTTTACTCTTAACAACACGCAGTTGCATAGAGGCAATCATCTCGTTCTCCAGGGGAAACTCCTGCATGGCCACGCTCGACCAATGCTTATTAATATTTCTTCGCTTGGCCGGTGTCAGTCATCCTGGAAAAGAACTCAAGAGGACCGTTCAGGAGACTGTTCCCAGAGTTGGGCCTGTCATTCATACATCCCCATTCTTGAATTTTTTTCATGAAATTTGAGTAACCGGAGTCCGGTGAATATCTTTAAACCGTGCAGAGGGAAACCAAAACATACTTGAGGACATGAAAAACTAGAAAATATCCATATTTCATAAAGAACAGGTCTTTTTACAAGAGATCAAGAAATATGTCAACTTCAATATATTCTGTAGCAGTAGAGTAAATTAGGCTCTGAATGTTGAAGCAAACTATATAATTCACTCTGTTTTTATTATTGTTTTGTTTTTACAACCACTTTCTCAGCTTGAAAAAGTTTAAACTCCATAAATCACACATACACAACTACTGCTAAATGAATTCAAAGCACGCAAAGCCTGTATCAGAGTACAATCCATTGTAATGCAATCAAAGAGTGGTGCCATGTCTCATGTTTGCAATGAATACACTGCCACTGGAAAACATTCAACTCATTAAATGTGATCATCCCATCAGAGAGGAGGCAAATGGGAAGTGATGGCGGATCTGAAATGAGTTCTGACTCGAAGAAGGCTGTTTGAATAGGCACCATTTCACCGCCGCAGCCATTCTGTCCAAACCTATCTGGGCAGGAAGTGTGTGTACCGTGGGACATTAGCCACTGATGTGTGTGTGCAGTAGATGAGGAGGGTGCTATAAGCCCAGCGATGATGGCTCCCGACTTCGGCCATTTCAGTCCCAGTAGTGGTGCAGTGCTGACAGCCCTGACTTTGTCCACACAAACACACGCGTACACACAAAGAGCAATGTCATGGCATTAACACCTCAGTGGATAGCATTGTGATGCAGACAGGCAGGCAACACACACTGCAGAGACGTGTGTGTGTGTGTGTGTGAGCTGTCACGATCAAACTGATTGCGTTTTTCTTTTGTTTGTTTGTTTGTCTTTTTTTTTGGAAGATGAAGGGACCGAATGAGAAAAAGGAGGGGAGGGATAAATCCATTAACTTGTCCCCAAGAGACAGAGATGTCAAACTCAAATGGGCGTCTCTCCTCAGTGAAAGGGCCACAGCGTGTCGGCCGCTGGCAGCGGGTCAGTGTTTCCCTTTCAGTGCTCACAACGACAGGTCGTCATTATACAGACGACCAAAAGGCTAATCATTGATCAATACGTGAAAATACATGCACATTAACACACCCAGAGCGCTGCACACAGACACACACAAAGAGCCTTGAGCGAATCTTAATGCATCCTTTCCCTTTTTAACTCTGTATAGGCTACAACACATTGATTTCTAATGTATCAGGTTATGACAGCTCTTCAATATTGCTGGAGGCAGCCGTGGGGCTTACTCCAAGAGCACACAGCTTGAGGCTGCAGACCTGACAAGGGAGAGCTGGCATTACGGTGGAGGCTGTTGTTGTCCTGACTACTGTCACTGCGACTCACAGCAGACCCGGGCTGCTCGCTGCAGAGATGTGACTGAGGCCGCTGTGTGGGTTACCTCAGCTGACTTCTGAGGCCCTGCTTCTACCTGAACTATCCCTGCAGAGGTGGAACGGGAAACAGTAATGAGGCAAATGCTGCCTCCCTGGATCTCTGTGCACAAGAAGCTACAGCACAAAGTGCTTACTTTTTTAAAATCTGACTATCTAACCAGTTGTAGACTGCACCCTTCCTATAAAGAACTGAGGGGATGTGCCTACCATCATCCACCCTGTAAGTTTTCCACTATGCTTTAAATAATGCAGCTTGGTTTAGGGTGTGAGAGGCTCAAAGCTTTGGGAGTAAGAGGTAGCCATGACTGTGCCTTACCTGAAGGAGGCAGCGTTCCTTGAAGACGTAACCGATGAGCTTATCCAGGTGCATGAGACACCGGTGGTACCGGATATGATGTGTGAGAACTGGCAGCATCATGGCGTGCTGTGGAGGACAAAGAAGGCAACAAGGGCGGGAGGGGAAGAAAGAGACAGAGAATCAGAATTGTGACTTACATGAAAGAGGAGAGAGGGGAGCATGTTTTGAGAGAAAGTGTGATGAGGAGATTGAGAGAAAGAAAGGGAGACGGTTGATGGAGGGAACAGGGAGGGAGAAATCAATCAGCCAGTCATTATTTATTAAGTGGTGCTCTGCAACAGAGAGATGAAATAATCAAAAACCCAATCGCTGCACTGTGAGAGGGAATGACAGCGAGGAGGGAAATCCACACGTGGTCTGGACAGTCAAATCAAAGCCCATCTCGACATGTTGACACACTTACACTCGGACAAACACACTGACAGCCCCCTGTGACCCTCGTATATATTATATAAAAAGAAAAAGTTTGAGTGCAACAAAGTGAAGGAAAAGTGAAAAGGAGAGGGGGGGGGAGAGAGGGAGAGAGGGAGACGTGGGTGTCAGCGAGGGAATGCGACATGGAAAGTGAGAATGAAGGAGGGAGAGAAAACAGCCAGTGGTCAGCAAATGAGTCCGACAGTCAGAGAGCCAATCTACAGAATCATTAGTGGAGGCGTATCAAGGCGGCCAGTCAGAGCGGCTGAGGAACTGTAGCAAAGGCTGGTGTACACACATTAACCCCGTGCCACCACAAGAGAGAAGAGGGAGCCATGCATGTTTTAATTAGAGCTGCTGGGGAGGGAGGACGCGGGGCCCGGGAGCTACAAGCAGTGCTGCCACGTAGCCCTGGGGCCATCACAGGGGCCGTGGTGACACACTCCCCAGGCCTTGTTAAGCAGCCAATTAACAAAGCCAGGGCCTGGTCGTGTCCACAGCTCCTGACCTGTTCTGATGACTGAGAGTGTGAGTGTGAGTGTGTGTAGAAAGGCAGGGCAGGGGCTTGTTAGAATTGATACTCCGGTAATTAAAAGGTGGGAAATTTCTAATTTACTGTCACGGATGACGCTTGGGAAGCTTGGACAGTGTCCAACAAGACCAGAGGCGAGTTTTCTTTTCCCCTGGCTGAAATATTACAAGTATTTTCAGGTTTGGTTTTTAATTAGTTATCTGATGCAATAAAAAACAGGGTGAAACCTCGTGATCGACAGCTCGGTGGGACCTCGCTACCACGGCTTTATCCCCCAAACACCAATGTGCAGTTCATATCCAGGATAATTTGGTCCTTTGAGATGCGTCTTCCATCTACATTGGTCCTGATGCAGGGGACACATCCCTCAGAGGACTCGGTCCACGAAGTCCGAGCCAAAGTGAGACATTCTGCTCTAAAGAGGACTTCCTATTTGTGTCTCCAGCCTGTCCCTCTCTCTTACTGTTGCATTGTTAGACCCACCCACACTTGATTTTCTCTGTGACATAACAGAAAACAAGCTGTGTTTTTAACTTGAGATGTTTTGAAAAAGAAAGAGGCAGGAAAACAAATATGCAAAATAAATGAGCAAACATGAAAATTAGAAATGAAACACTGATGAATAAATAAATCCCCTCCCTGCCTGTAATATGCAGCGTGGTCCTTGACAGAGCCTTTCAAGTGAAATAACCTTGGTGTAGCCGAACGTTGTCAGTAACAAGGGGGCTGATTTTGTTCCAAATGGAGCGGCTGCTTTTAGAATCAAGAAACTATAGGTCAGTTTTGCCATTATCTCTTGTCTGTGTCACATGTTGTGCAGAGTTCGAAGTGAAATTATTCATGAACCAATTAGTCGTAGCAGTACAGCTTGAAGCAAATATAATTGGGCAGCAATTATGGATTGGTTCCTTCTTTGCTAGACCTTGCTGCAAGAGAGGTCTGGTTTGTGAGGCTAGAACTTTCCTGTCATTCGTCTCCAAGTGTGAGCACGAGTATCAGCTGTAGGCTATCCTCACACTGCACACAGGGAGAGGGGATGTGTTCAGAGGGAGAGAGAGAGAGATGTTCAACGCTGACGCCAATTATTTTCTGAGTAACAGGCAGAAAATACAGGAACAGACAATAAATAAGAGAATTAGGGAATAAACCACACCAGTGCATTTTAGTACCTTCACGAGTCTGTGAACACATGTAGCTCCGTATGTTTCAGTGGGTAACACATTCAGGGTTACGGTTCAAGTCTCATTAGGACCGCTCATGCTAAAACTGAATGCTGCATTCGCTGTAGCCACTTCCCCGAGATCCAGATTACGTGCAGTCTTAAGTATGTGGAGATGAAAAAGTCCTGGTTTATTTTGCCTCTAACAAGTGCTTGAAGGAGTTAACGGTACATGTCCTCTTGCCATAGCCAGCGGTGCTCAAGTTGTATATAAAGTGTCAGCTCTGAGACATTACTTAATGAAGGGTATGGCAGCCGAGGCTCTGTGGGAGTCCACTTTCCTAACACAGATTTTTGACACTTGAATGGTGAAGTGACGCAACATGTGGAAAGATCAGACGCCAAGTTTCTGGCTGTGTTTGTGCAGCGAGCACTGGTCTGTGTCTGTCTGAGTGGAAGTGCGTCTGTGTGCATGCATGTGTGCACGCTTAAAGGATAATTGCAGAGCACGACAGATGCTTTGCAGCTCGGGACAGCTTTTCTACATACTTTATTATATTCACAGACACACTGTAAACTGCAATCAGTCTTCAGACGCAGCCTCTGAAGGACGCAGCCCCTGAGTTGGGACACAGCTTGTATATCGTAGAACAGTAGGTTAAAGCCGAAGCAGGAAATCGTTCTGTAAATGGTAATGGATGTCTTACTGTCAGCAGTTCACCTGGCGACTGCATCCTAATTATTACAGACAGGAAACATGATCAAAACTATAACAATAAGTTGCAATAAGGAAGAATTATCCATTAAATATGACCACAGCACTTAGCTGCTCTGGCTCTCAGTCACTTTAGAACTGATTTTTAATAATTTATTGACAACTTCTGAGGCTCTTGGTCGGCTGGCTCCTGTTTGCTGAGACTCTGACCCCACACACACCAGAGCAGGATCTCAAATCCTCTGTTTCTTCATCATTGGACTCGGTGTCAACAGCTGCACAGGTATTTTCAAACACAAGGCCCCTCGTCTACTTAACAGTTTAACTAACGGGCTTATTTAACAATGGCCTCAGTGATTATCAACAAAAATGTGCATCTTAAATGTGAGTATTTGCTCTTTTCTTCGTTTCATATCAATGAAAAATGCAAACAAAACAAGGAGCTTGAGGCATTGTTTGACTTTTGAATGCCGCTTTCTTAAAAATATATAAATTGAAACTTGTGATCATAAACCATTTTAAGTTTCTTGCTTTAATTAATATTAATGTTTGTGTGCCTCTGTTGTGTCGATGCACTTTATTTCTTTTTAATGATCTAATGAATCTTCTTGTTTAAAGGCTTTTTTAATGGACTTAGGATTTTGAATGCTTCTCATTTATATTATGTAAATACCATTTTGTGTGTCTGTGCGAGTGAGTCAATGTAAACCTCTGTACAGATCTACACATTGTTAGATCCACCAGTATGTGTGACAGCATGTATATGTGCCGGTGTTTGTGCATGCATACAGTTGATGGGTGTTACCTGACAGACGTCGGAGCGGATGCCTGTCTTCCAGAAGCCCTGACTGCTGAGCTCCACTGTCACCTCACGGCGCATAGTGTTCTTCTGGCGGATCTTCTGAAGAGCTTCCTGCCAAACAACCAGCCAGTCAATTATTGATCCGCTGGAACACAGCCCACAGGGACAGCTCGTATCCTCAAAACTCCACCCCACCCTCACCCCTTCCCTTCTTTCCCTCCTGCTCTCCCAACAGATATGCTGGCACATGCAATAAACTGAAACCCACATGGCCTGACAAGCATACGGTACAGCAGTGGACAGGAGCTGCAGGAGAAGTGACAGCTCTGTTGGTCCTGGCTAATTGAGGCGCTGCCATGGGTCAGCATGGTTGTGGGCAGTGGTGGTGGTGGTGGTGGTGGGACAGGGTGTAGGAGGGCTGCTGCTGAAGCTTCGGTCCCAGCCACCAAGTGCAGAGGCACCTGCCTGCCCATTAAGACAACCACACAAGAGCCCGGAGGATGCTCCATCAGCAGCAGCAGGAATCAGAACAGAAACACACACACAGCATCATGTCAGCCCTAAAGCAAATAACTGCAAATTCAGTGGGGGTGGTTGAGTTTGAGACAAGAGGGTCCTACAAATAACAAGCAAGATGGGAGATGTATTGACAGACTGCGCCTCCTAAAAGTGTGTGTGTGTGTGTGTGTACGCATGTGTTTCATTCAACTGAGACGCCACTGACTCCGTCTGAGTTCGCCGTGATCTGCCCAAAATGGAACGCCAGGAATTTTTTGACTCGCAGAGAAAATAAGAACAACAAAGGCATGAATAAATAATGCCATCCTACTTTGA